CTCTCTGCCTCATCCTTCTCTCTCTGCCTCATCCTTCTCTCTCTGCCTCATGCCTTTTTTAATCAGTTTTTTTCACTTGCACATATTTTTAGTTTCACATGTTTGTAACCTCCCTAATTATAAAAAAGCGTTAAATTTCATCTAATGCCCTGACATGAATGTTCAAACACTAAACAGTCATATTTTAAGTGTGTTAACATATTAACATATTTGTTACCATGTTAAGGGCTGGCTCTGTGTGTGTGTGCATCCATTCGTGCAGGACATTTCTGTGCACTAAATTGCTGCCTTAGTCACACAAACCAATAACTTCTCTCTCATTTCTGCATACTGTACTCGTGATGTCACCGCTAAGACTGCAGGCTGCTGCTGGTGGACAGATGGTGAAGAGCACAGTCTCATTTGTGTGTAATAAGTCGTTACTAATTGTCCGCAGATTGGATCGATGTCCTGTTCTGCTACGGCTCAGCTCTGAGTCTGTAAAACCACCGACAGCACAGCCGCCATTCATCAGTGCTGGTACAGTAGAGGAAAGAGTGCTTCTCACATCATGATTGAGGCAGTTTTGCTGGAACTGGTCAAATTACGTTAATGAATGGTCTCTTTTGTGAAAGAAAATGGGCCACTAGGAATAGACTTTGAGGGGTTTTTATGCCATTGAACTCATGCAGGTCCACACACATGAATAAACACAGTTGTCACGCACTAACTATGCTCAAAAAATAAACGAGCCGTAGTAATTATGACAGGAGTATAAAGTCCTTGTAGGGAGATAGTTTGCGGTGGATGGACCATAGACTGTAAATAAGAGGTGGACGTAGTCATTGTGGCGTCAAACATTGGTTTGTGGACTGCAGTTTTGAAGCCTCGAGTTCAGCGATTTCGACATCACCATCTTGGCTTTTTTTTTTTTACCTAAACCAAGTAGTTATTTTGCCTGAATGTTAAGTTTTGCTTTCACTTTCACAACGTGGCAGGTGCAGCTTGGCTTATCTGAAGCATTAGAATTCTAATGATAACCATTGATAACGCCCATTCAATCAGCTGATTACATTCTAAATCGGTGAGTTTTTCCTGTCAGTTGGTGATGTCGTCTACTTAAACGCTGAGGAGCTAATTGATCATGTCTTTGAAGATATCTCATTCTTATTTTTCACGCTGGCAAAAGAAAACCCCGTCCAGTATTAACAACACCAGCCAGAGCTGCAGCATTACCCTCAGTGGTGTGATTGACCGGAAGAATGGTCATAAGAAGTTTGGCCTTTCGGCTGCTAAAGCCTTCCTCACTAAGTCGACGCGATGAGCCGGTCCACGGCTGTCAGTTACACTGTGTGCATCGCTGCCTTTCTCCGCTGCAGCAGATACTGTACATGTCCGCCTGAGCTGTGACTCAAATTGAAGAGACGTTTGTGAAGCTGAGATTTAATACCAAAACCGCATGCAGAGATACTCGCATGTCAGACTTATCTTTTGCAGTACAAGTGTGACTCAGGCAGATTAATGCATGGGGGAGGGGTTTGTTGAGCACATGTTGCAAATGTTACAAACTTTAATGTATAAGCATTTAAAAGCTGAACTGAACTCTTGCCTTTGTTCTTTACATCAGTGTATCTGACTTTTGCTTTTGATGGAACCAGACTGATGTTGATTTTCGGGTCATTTGTGAACAAAAGGTCATTATTTTCATCAGAGAGAGACTTTATTTCTTAAGGTACATCAATCATTGCCACCTGTAGGTTTTAACATTGAGCAGCAGCATTGCACCGGACTTGGAAGGTATTAAGTGGGTTAACATTTATTCTATCGTATTAATGTATTCATTGCTTAACTGGTTGAGCATCATGATTAGAAACAACACAGTGACATTGTTTTTAGCTACATACCAATGCCGATATTCATGGTCCCCAGAGGATACATTCCAATGACTTTAGTGATCCTATGGCGTTGCCAACAGGTCAAAGTTTTCACGCATCAGGGGAAATATCTCATTTATCATCTGATGGATTGGCACTGACATGTTGTAGAGACATTCATGTTCCCCAGAGGATGCATCCTACAGACTTTGGTGATCCAAAGGGCCATCGCCAGGTTGGCTCTTGTGGCTTTGAGTGAAATATCTCATTATTTTAAGTTTGGCTGATGCCTATTCCACAGTATGATGTCCTGTATCTTGTGCATATAGTGTCTCAAATGACACACACACACCTACTCACACCTACTCTATTTAAACTAGTCAACCGGAAGGTAGCATTTTATTATTTTGTGTCAAAAAGACATTGAATTTCACAGCGGATGAAAGCAGCCGAACACTTGGAGGCGTTTTTGTATAAAAGTGAAGCCAGCTTGAAAAGCTCATTTTCCAAAATTGTAGGATTTTGACATTTTCAATATGTCACACAGAGCGAGAGTTGGCCAAGTTTGAGTCAAAATAGCTTTCCACATCACATCACCTAATTTACCTGAAGAGTTGCTGTGGACAGCAGCAGTGAAAGTAGATTTAGGTTCATGCTGATAATCTCCCAACGTCACATCACTTCTCTCATGAAAACACACTGAAGCTGCCGTTTTGATGCTTTTATCCACCCTGGCTTGATTTGACGATAAAATGGAGCGCATAGTCAAGTTGAGAGCATGTGGTAAACCAATCATTTAAGCAACAGCAAACCAATCATTTGGTATGTTTAAACAACACACAGCCAGCAATCAGAAGCAACACAGGAGGTCACATTGGGTATTTTCTATGTTGTTGGAAACAGATTATCTATTTTAACTCCCAGTGTTGGGATAGCTACTTTGAAAAAGTACAGGTACACTTCATGTTTATTGAAAGTAACCACCAAATACTACTGCTACTACTACTTATACTATTACTCACATTTAGGCATTGCACAACTAGTCTGGGTTAGATTGATGTGGATTTAGCATTTGTTCATGCGAGCCATGCTACTGGAAACTTTTGAAAATAATATAATATAATAAACTAGAGGTCTAAGTGCATTATATGTACACTGGTATTATCCACCCTGGATGGATGGATGAATAGATAATGACTCAAACAGCTCTTTTCCTTCAACTTCTTTCTTCATTTCCTGCCCTCACACATTGACCATATCCTGTTTTTTCCATTTCATCTTATTTTTATGTCATTAATTGCTCAGCACTTTCAGATTTTACCATCTCCATCAGCACACCATTAACCTTTAAGTGATGTATGTTTTCAAATCACGTAGTGTTGTTTTTTCCCCCTCCCTGCTGTTGAATTAAGAAACGAGTCTCTAATGGTTTTTCTCATTCAGCGAATCACTTTTATGTATTTCCAAAGGCAGACTTTCCATCATCTCCCCTGCCCTGTGAATCCGCAGCAGTGGGAGTCTATCACCCCGTTTCACAGGAAATTGAATACACACTTGCGTAACTCTATATCTCACCAGTATGCAATGAGTCAGGGTCAGACAAACATCCAGAAATGCACTCGCACATGCTTGCACACGCACACTGATGCATAAACGCATTCAAACACATACAAATGACGGTATTCCCAGTCGTTCAGGGGAACTGCACTCTACGTTCTGCACAGCTTCTCTGGGCTCATGCATCATTAAGTGAGCCGGGCTGTTATTATGGAGAAGATGCAGTGTATTAGATGGCCTGACAGATTGTGTCAGGGGCTGCAATCCTATCAGGATTGGATAATAAAAAGACATTTAATCGAGCTAGTTCCCTACAGTCCTTTGCACACAGAATAAAAAAATCCTGACGCCTGCTCTGCGGTCCAATCGTCCTTGTCAAATTCTCCTCCTCCCTCCGTCCCATCCTAAAATATAACAGCAATAATTACGACTTAATCTCCTCAATCTCCGCCATTCATCATCCAAAATATTTCCCGTGAAGAGGCATGGCGTTATAGCCCAGCAGCATAAAATGTGTTTATTGCCTCCTCTGCAACACCGTAATGTACCGTAAAAATAGGTGCCCCGCGCCAGTATGCATGACACGACTGGGCGATGATCAGCTAATTTATGGGGGCCTCGGCTCATCAGTCGGACCTGGAATGAGAGGCAGGAGGACGCCAGGAGGGGGTCGACTCAGCACATTGTCCTTCGCCTGGCGAGCATCAGTCATGATAAACAGGGGCACGGCAGACGCAACAACAGCCAATCCGTCACCTTGTGGAAAGTCACAGAGGCCGAGTCTACGCACTGCCTGCCCACTCTGCTCTTCTTCTGTCTCCGTCAGAGAGCAGCGACGGGATGTAATGCTGCCTCACTGCCTGTCGTAGTTTGTCAACATCGGAGGCACTGTCGTAGAACTCTTTCTCCGTAGAAAAAATAAATTATAAATAATTCATATGTGTCTCCCACTCTGTCTGTCTTTGCAGGGGAGAATAACCCGTGCCAGACCAACCCCTGTCTCCACGGAGGGAGCTGCCTGCAGGAAGGTGACGGCTATAGCTGCTACTGTCCTCAGGGCTTCTCTGGAGAGAGCTGCGAGATCGGTGAGTCACTGCCGGGTCAGGGTCAGGGGCCTAAGGGGGTAACAAAGGGCCCCAGTGCATGCTGGTATATACTGGTTTTGTTTGAAAGGCATGACTGCCCGCTCAGCTTATGAGTCTTGACAGATTCTGCACCTAAACTAGCCACCGGATAACGTATCGTCTCGTCACATGATCAAACGTCAACATACATATTACCCAGCAATCATCGCTGCATATCTGTGTATGACAAAAATTTGGTTGGGAGACCTCAGAGGTCAGCAGCTGCAGAAAAATGCTGTGTCATTATGGCCTAAGGGAAAGAGAGACAGGCATACGTTGGCATGACATTTACTGTTAGTGATGTTTGCGACTCAAGCAGTGAATTGAAGAGGAAAGCAGCAACGAGTTTGCCTTTGTTTTTCCTTTGGGTTTTTGGGGTTTTGTTTCCTCGTTTGTTAGCAGCATTCTGTATCCAAGAGGAGCTCTCCTGTCAGGTCCAGTGGTTTTGGATCAAGCTCCTTGACTGAAAGTGAACTGGGAATATCCAAATGCTGCAAGTCAGCCAGTTGTGACAGAGGTTGCTGATTGTGAGCTATATGCACTCAGCTGTGTGTGTGTGTGTGTGTGTGTGTGTGTGTGTGTGTGTGTGTGTGTGTGGGTGTGGGTGTGTGTGTCTGCGCTTCTGTGAATCTGTTTGTTTTCACTTTTATGCCCCATAGTTGGCAGCTCATCTTTCCTCTCAGCTGTGCGATGGGAGAGTGTGGCTGTCAGAAAATGGCTGTGTGTGTGTGTGTGTGTGTGTGTGTGTGTGTGTGTGTGTGTGTGTGTGTGTGTGTGTGTGAGAGACATGCAAGGACACATGGGCCACAGAGGAGCCATGATCAGGTTTAGTGAGGGATGGAGCAGCTGGTTAAAGTGCTGAGGGAAACAGGAAAATAAAGAGAAGAAGAATTAGGTTGAACTACGAGTAGATTACGCAAAAAACATCTATATATATATATATATATATATATATATATATATATATATATATGATGCAACTCTATTTTCATTGATTGCAATTTGTTTTGCTTAGATAGTTGTGTGCTGCTATAGTATTGCTTTGAATTTCAGACTAAGAACCTTTAAGGATTCAGAGTTAACAGTAATTAGTTAGAAGCACCATCATTCCTGAATTAGAAAACACCACCAAGCATGTTGAACCCTTTGTTAGTCAGACTTCTCGAGCTCTGCGAGTCCAATATTCATGCATACAAAGACAACAGAGCCAAGCTGAGGCTTTACGGGTCATTACTTACTGAAATAGGTCATAGATCAGGGGTCAGGGGTCATGTGAGGCCTATTGTCCCGGGCCTGATTATCAATAACCTTTAATTCTTATACCCAGAAGCACATATTATGCAGCATTGAGGTGTGCCTGTGCATTAACACCATTGGAGATCAATCAACAATCTGCCGTTGGGTCAATAATTTGTGACAAATGCATGTTAACTGCATGAATTTCACACACATGTAGTTGTAACGATTCGCTCCAGTCGATGTGGTTTGGGTTCGTTATTGAATGAGACAAAACTTGTTTGTTTTTTAAGAAGCATTTGGAATAAATTATGCCATTTTAACATGAATGTCGGAAGGTTAGCACACTCATAGAATATTTGGTGTTTACTGATTACGTCTGCACTTGTCCTTTAGCTCCCGTTCCTCAGGAGTGTTTAATTGCCTTTCCCAGTGTCACTAAAGTGTTGCCTTGTTGATTATGTTGCTAAACAGCTGCATATCTGATGTTTTTAATAGGAATGATGGCCAAAGGCAACAGGGTTAATTGCTTATTACAGCAAAAGCTTGACCACAATTTTACCAACTTAACACAGTGCTGTTCGAGAGGAATTAGGCCGCGAGGAAAGCGCTGCTTCATTTCTGTGTTTCACATCCACAGCTTCTTCTTCCTTCACTTCATCATTAACGTTTGAATCTTATTGAATCGTTTTCTTTCTCCTTCGGTTTGTATACATCCACCACAGCCCCATCACAGAGAGGCACATGAACCAACATGCCCTGCTCTGCCTCTGCTCTCCACGTGAAAGGGTTATTTTGGCAAAATGAGGCAGTGGCAACACAGCTGCAACACACCTTGGAGGCTGTCTCCAGGACTTGGCTTGTAGCTGCAATTATTTGAGGAGCGTTTTGGGGAGCTGCATTATTGATGGCCAATGTTTCTACCGTGGGTCTGTAGTTAATATTAATGAGGGAAGGGGAGAGAGAGAAGCTGTGTACGTCTCAATGTTAGCGCTCCAGCTCCACTGGATCCTCGTCTTTAGAAAGTCATCCGCTCCATCTGTATTCCTAACTTCATTTAAATTGATTCAGGGCTGTCGGTAAAGCCGCGTGGACCATAATGTGCAGCACCCTTAAAAACCCAAGCTTTAGGTTATTGTGTGCCATTGATCAGCAGGACTTTAGGGTTAAAATCTGGTTCCTGCCGCAGATTAAGTGATTAATGAGGCACGATAAAGCCTATCTGTTTGATGGCCGTGTGTTGAGATACAAGAATGAATTGTATTTGCCTTCCTCACAGCTGGAATGAACATTTGTTCACAGATATAAATAAACGGAGATGTAAACAAAATGCACCTCGAGCGGATTCTGCCCATCCACTGATAACGTTGAGATAAAATCGACACATTTGAATAAATCTTACCAAGCGAAGTTTTACTTGTTCTATTGGCATCTTTCTGTTTACTTACTACAAGCAGAAACACCTCGTATTCATAGGTTTTGAGTGACTTTTTGACATTTACAGTTCAATAGCATCGGAGCAAACCCAGCCTGCCGATGAGGGCCGTCATATGCGACATATCTTTCAATACCACCACTCCCCACTGAATGAGGCAATCATTACACCCCCACATGTCCCTTTGTAACAGTATATAACATTTGAAAATTAGTTTTTAAAGGTGCTAAATTCAAAATCCAGAACTCGCATGTCGATCGCTGACGCTCTACACTCACACCGCTTAGCTCTGTCAGCTCTGTCAGCGCTGTTTGTTCTGTCAGCACCGTTAGTCGCCATGTTGAGAGCCGTTACGTACAAAGTCTTTAGTCCACTTAGATTCAAGAACCCACAAATAGAGTGATGAGGCCGCCAGTATTGACTGAGTTTGTTTTAAAGGTTGAGTCACATCCTTGTTTTACATTTATATTGAGTCCGTCTCGTTGTTGTTTGTGTCACTCAGAAATCAAATCTCCTTCTTGTTGACGGCAGCAGCTATTTCTGTTTAGTTGGAATGTGATTTGTTGTTGGGGGGGAAACGCATTAACCTGTCTCAGCCTATTGCTGAAGATGGGTCAGCAAATCACTGACTCTTAACGGGAGCAGGAGTTAGGCAAATCATTTCTGGTCGCCTGCTGTTTGTTCTTCAGAAAGACCTCCATCAGAGCGGCAGAGCGGCGGGCAGGTAAATGACTTTGCGCTGCGAGAGACGTTTCATGTGCATCTGGATTAACCGACAAATAGAGACGGACGCATGAACGCGGTGTTTCCTTCATGGCTCTCTGCAGCCGAATCAAAGCTGGTACACGTGTGCTTTTTTTGGATTTCAGATGTAGAATGTGTAGCGAGGTCAAGCCGGTAACTGATCCTCTTAACAGGAGGAAATTACTCTGATCGCACTATTATCTCATCCTGTCTTTTGACCCCTGTCCCTCTTCCTCTCCGTCCATCTTTCTCATGGCCCCGTGAGGATTCGAGCTCCTCCGTTTTCTCTATCGTCCCGTCCCGCATGTTGAATTAGAGGAGATGACGGAGCCCGAGCTGCCGTCTCACTCTTTCTTTCTTTATCAGCCTTACCGTTTTATTTCTCCCTCAACTCCTCGAGCAAATCGGTCAGAAACAACAACCGGAGACTGAGTGCAGGTGGAGAAGAACACAACACACGAGGAACAAAAAGAGTCAAACACAGCCACGCTGTCCCGTCACTAAACGAACTACCGTAAGATTCAGTCGGACACAGGTGGTTTGAACAACTCTCAGGTCAATTTCAGCAAAATAAATTGAATAGCAACATCCTCTCTGTGCACACAGCAATGTCCTGCAGGTGGTTTTCTGCTCGACAAGAAGACCACCTGATGCTTTTTTTTCATTATGATTATTATTAGTATTATTTTGCACCTCCCCACACTCTCCGGCCTCATTTCCAATCATGGTGATTAGAGTTCTCTCTCCCACTTGCTTCCTGTCTCTCCCTCCGGGCTCTCTACATACAGTAAATATCAAACGGGCTTTTTTTTCTTTCTTTACATTTATTTCTATGACAACATTTTCCTGCCTCTATAATTTTTTCCTATAAAATTTCGCTGTCTCTATAATTTTCCTTGACACCCTGCTATCACTCTTTGACTCCCCCCTCCTCCAACACATTGCTCCTTAGAGTACAGCGCTGTATTGAAATTGCTCCGCAGTGCAGAGATTGGGGTGAAAACAAGCCAGTAGCCCGCCAGCATTTCTCCCACATAACACACTTCATTTTTCTGCCTCACTTCCTGAC